CTCTTTCTCTCTCTCTCTCTCTCTCTCTCTCTCTCTCTCTCTCTCTCTCATACACACACACACACACACACACACACAGAAAAGTCTGATTATTTTCGGGTTTTCTTCTGATTCATCGATCTTTTGTTTGTGCTTATTTTAAGTATCACTCTATTTTAGTCATTATGGCTTTATTGTATGTTTTGATAGCTGAAGGGTTTTTCCCATTTACTTAAAAAATTTCTTTGTCATGCACTTATTTTTTTTATGAGCTTCAGAATCAGTTTTTCAAGTTCTATTTTTAAATATTCCAATGAGATTTTGATCGGATTGCTTTCATTTATAGATTGCACTTAGGAGAATGGACATTTTCCTCATCCTGACTTTTCCCAATCAGGAACATTGTACTTATTTTCATTTTGTTAGGTTCATTTTTCTTACTCCTTTAGAAAAGTTCAAAATAGCCTAAAAGTAGACTTGCAAAGTAAAAGGGTGTATGTGTTCCTAAAGCCTTTCACTTCGTGCCTTGTTCTCTCTTGTCTCGGCAACCCCACACTTTGTGTGTGGGGGCCTATTTCCCAGCACTCCTCCAGGGTACAGCATTCTTGTTTGGGTGCTGGGCTTACTCATTCAGTGGCCACTTCACAGTATAGCAGGTACTAGACTTCAGGCCAACTGCCCCATGGAATAAGCAGTTTTTCTGGCCTTATCTGCACTTGGAATGAACACTTTTATTAAAACATAGTCAAGATTTCCCAGCAGGAGTGGCTAGGAGACTCATCTGCCTGGGGAGATGGCTCAGCGCACAGAGAATACCTCTATTACTCTGTTAGTGATTCTGGACCTTCCTGCACCAAGAGCTTTTAAAATGCACATTCTTGCCTTCATCCAAATATCAAGACTGATTCATAGCACGTTTTAGATGGGACTCAGGAATCTGCAATTTACATTAACCCCTCCCAGCCCCATCAGTGACCCTGGTCCAGGAGGCCCTGCACCACAGCTGGAGGCCTTGGTTACTGGTGGGTCTCATGCTGATTTTGAGCATTGTTCACTGATCTGAAAATGTCTGTTGCCTTTTCAGAAGTAAGGAAACGCACGTAAAATGCCTCTTAGATCCTTAACAATTCAAATCATGTAGGTATTAACTTTTGTAGTTTTACTGATTATTTCAGAATGAAAGCATCACCCACCTGTTATTCAGCAGGGCTGTGCAGGCTTTATTGACGAGGCCCAATATAACTGTGGAAAAGTGCAGGTAGACTAATTATTAAAGTCAGTCTATTGATATCGTGGGCTAGGTTACAGCATGTGGAATTTTTACTTAGAGCTGCTGCTGCTTGTAATTGGACTTGGTTATTAGCACACTGACGTAATGGCTGCTATTGAAAGAAGACTACCACTGGCAATTTATTCTTTGTAATTTTTCCTTATTGATCTGAAAGAAAAGGTAAGGAGATTCAGCCAAAATGACTGATTTTCTGTTTCTAGGCAGATCTGCTGAGCCTGGGAGAATCCCCATGATATGGAGCTCGTATCACTTGAAAAGTACAGGAGGAGTTTACAAGGAACTGAATTTATTTTGTTAGCAGGATTTGGCCTGGCCTTCTGCATTCATTTTTTAATAAATATTTTTCACTCCTGTGAGGACAGTTTTACAGTTGAGAGACCAAGAGTGAGAAAGGTTACATATTAGTAAAGCCCAACAAAGCATCTGTATTGAGTCCCTTTCTTGGCTTTTAAACAGATTTTTCTCATGGGAAGGCAGGATGTATTCCTTCCTGCTAGCTGGCGACTTTTGACTTATATGATATGTATTTTTTCACTTCTGATGTTCTGATTCGAGTTAGTTTTCTGATGTAGCAAGTGTGTCCAGCCCATCCTTGCATGCGCTTGTCTGAAGAAACAACAGCAAGAAAAGCAGGGCCTGCCCTGGAGTAGTTAAGTAAGAGCTGTTCTGAGGTCAGGTTGTACGAGCTCACGGACAGGTCACTGAATGGCTCCTTGAACAAGCGGTGCCTTAGAGTTCCCGTGTTTAGCAGCAGTGCTGCACTGGACGCTGAGTGTGGAGACGAGAGCACAGGCTCCGAGTCCCGTCCTCCTTGTGCCTTTTCCTGCCAGTGGAAGCTGAGTGACCTCAGCAGGTCCTGCCACTACCCCGAGTGCTGTCACAGTGCCTGTGTGTGGGTGTAACAGGGACCAAATGCAGCCATCAGCACCCTGTAGGCCGGAGAACCTCTACATCCACCGTCTACTCATCCAGCCTCTCCAGATGCTGCTGATAGCCCCAAAGGGACCAAATGCCAGTTTGGTTTTTGTAAAAGTGCTTTTTAAAAAAGTTTTAATAAAGTAAACTTTAATAAAGTAAAATATGTAAAGAAAAGCCCACAGTCATATGCAGCTTGATGAATTTTACAAAGTAAACGTACCTGTGTGCTCTGGTCTAGGAATCAGCACTGTTAGCCTCGCAGAAGCCCCGTGTGCCCACCCCCAAGTACAGATTAGGTTTACTAGGCTTGAACATCATGTAAATGGACTCTTACGGAATATACTCTCGTGTCTGGCTTTTTTCACAGAACATTATTTGTGAGATTCATCTATGTTGCATATGGTAATAGTTTGTTCATTTTGGTGCTGTATAACATTCCATTATAGAAATATGCCACTGGTTTAACTGGTAGTGGGCATTGGAAAGTTACCAGTTTCCGGTTATTACAAATGGTGCTGCTGTCAATATTCTTTTATGCATCTTGTGGTGAACATGTATATGCGTTTCCATTAAGTGTATGTCTAAGAGTAGAATGAGGTTGTAGGGTGACCCGCGTTCACTTGTAGCATGCCCTGGCAAGCTGTTTTCCACACTAGTGCTGCTGATTTTCAGCACTACGAGCCAGGCCAGTGCTTGACATTTTCAGTTTATTTTGTTTTTGCCATTTTGGTGGTGTTTCTGTAGCACATTTGACAACAAATAGACACTTGGTAATCTTTTATTGTCTTCATTTATGCACATTCTTCAGCCTGGCAGCATTTACTTGACATCATAACAGTTTGAAAATGAGAGGAAAAATCATAGGGTTACTAACATCAAGAAGACCAAAGCTTAAATGAAGAGTTATTGTTGGCTTCCTTATTTTATGTTGGATGTATATGACTAGCTTTAAAAGATAGTTTGAGATACCTTCAGTCTCTATCTTCAGTGGGAGGTGCCTGCAAAATGCCCTGATTTTTGGAAAAAAAATGATTCGGCAACAGAGATTCTATATACTAACTTTTTATTTTTATAAAATATACACTCTCCTCTTCCCTGACTACATTTCCTCTAGAGGATAAAGAAGAAAAGCGGGTGGGTGTGTTTTAAATGTGTGCACCTGTGTGAGTTTGAGGGGAGTTAAACACCAAAGACAGCATCTGCCTACTTACTCTGTCACTCACAGTACAGAAGCTTTTACCATGTTTCACAGTGGAGGACCTGCAGAGGGGCTAGGGAGAGGAAATAGATTGAAAGAATTACCTTTTTCCTCCTATTTAAACAAATGAGCGGATGATAATTGAAGGTATATCTGTGATTATCACCAAAAGCAACCTCGAAATAGTGAAACTCTAGAAAGGCTAGTGTTTTAGCCTGCTCAGACTGCTATGACAATACCGTAGACTGGGGGGCTTAAACAACAGACATTGAAATTGATTTCTCCCAGTCTTGGAGGCTAGAAGTTTCAAGATTAAGGTGCCAGTGGATTCAGTGTCTGGCGAGGGCCCCTTTTCTGCTTCATAGACAGCTGTCTTCTTGCTGTGCCCTCACATGGCCTTTCCTTGCTCATGGAGAGAGTTCTCTCTTCTTGTTATGAAGGCAATGATCTCCTTGGTGTCTCCTGCAGCGTCTCGGCTGCTTTCAGAGCTGAGACTGGAGTGTGCCCCTGCGAGTCATGGCTACTAGGGCTGTGTTTGTGCTGAAGGACGATGGCCTCAGGCAGAGTACCATCTATTCTGAGCAGAAGGGAAATGGGTCAGTCGTGGTCTTGGGATCCATCACAGGATTGACTGAAGACGAGCATGGATTCCACGTTCATCTGTTTGGAGATAATATACAAGGCTGTACCAGTTCAGGTCCTCACTTTAATCCTCTATCCAAAACACATCATGGGCCAAAGAATCAAGAGAGGCATGTTGGAAACCTGGGCAGTGTGGCTGCTGGCAAAGATGGCGTGGCTAATGTATCTGTTGAAGATTCTTTGATTGTACTCTCAGGAGACCATTCCATCATTGGACACACAATGGTGGTCCATGAAGAACCAGATGACTTTGGGCAAAGGTGGAAATGATGAAAGTAAAAAGACAGGAAATGCTGGAAATCATTTGGCTTGTGTAATTGGGAATGCCCAATAAACATTCCCTAGGACGAAGCCTGAATCCTAGTAATTCATCTGTTATCTTGCTAGTTGGAGAAATTTAACTTCATAAACATTAAACACTGTAACCTTAAAACACTGTTAACCTTAAAAAAAAAAAAATAAAGGCACTAATTCCATCATGGGGGCCCCACCCTCATTACCTCATCTAACCTTGATTTCCTTCTGGAGGCCACATCTGCAAACACCATCACTTTGAGGTATAGAGATTCAACATGTGAATTTTGGGGA